GCCCGCTGGTGCGGTCTCCTTCTTGTCATCAGCTGGGGGCTTGGAGGCAGCCAGCCCTGCACTGGGTCTCGGGGCAGCCAGTAGGGGACTGAGGACCCTGGGGGGCATGCTGGGGCCAGCTTCAGGTTCTGGGTCAGGCGGTTTGTGCACCGGCCCCACCACCTTCACTCTTTGCCCCAGTGGGTGGAAACTCTGGATGGATTTCAGCAAGTGCATCCTCAGGTCGGTGTGGGGCGTCCGCAGCCCCTGCAGCGTTTTGGCCTGAACTTTTTTGTGCAGCAGCCTGTCCTGGGGTCACATGTTGCGGCGATCCATGCTCCGCATCTTCTCAATCAGCAGCAGGCGGGGTGGGCAGGCATGGGGTGCTTTGCCCCCTGGCGTCCCCAGGCATTCTGGGTCGCTTGAGCAACAAGGTGGGCACATTGGTGTCCTCAGATGCCCTCCGCTTGCTGCCGCCTGCTTGTTGCCTGCTGCTGCCCACCTGCTGGCCACTGCTGCCCACCACCATGCCGTCCCTGTCCAGCTTCCCCTCCCACAGGGTTTTTGAGTGTTTTGCCACCCAGCGTACCACCATCTTCCTCTTCTTGGGTGGGCTGTTGTCCCGCAGGGAGGTCTTTTGCATCTTGGGATTGCTGGTCGGCGTGGGGTGCTTGGCCTGCTTGCCGCTTGCATTGCCTGATCTGGGCACCACCTGGCAGGAGATGATGCCTGGCGGCAGCAGCAAGTGGGTCAAAACCACCTGGGGCTTCCTCTGCAGCGCCTCCTCCACCAGTTGGGCCATGCGGGGCGGATGACCCTGGGGGCAGCTGGGGGGCTTGCCAGGGGACTCAGCAGCAGGATCCACAGGGGGCTCAGCAGGTGACTCTCTGGAGGACTGTCTGGGGGACCCTTCAGGGGACCCTCTGGTCAACCCTTCAGGGGACTCTCTGTAAGATTCTCCTTTGAAATCTCCATAGGACTCTCCTGAGAAGGCTCCACAGGACTCTCTGGCAGCCAGGTGGGGAGGACTGCCGCCACCTCGCCCTGCTTCCTCTTGGGGTCTAGCAAGGGGGACATCATCACCCCCCCCCCCAACCCCACAGGCATGGCCTCTCCCCTCAC